ACATCCTCACCAACACTTGTTGTTTCTGATATATTGATGATAGTCATTCTGACAGCTGTGAGGTGATATGGTTTTAATTTGCATTTCTCTGATGATTAGTGACATTGAGCATCTTTTTATAATTCTCTTGGCCATCTGTATGTCCTCTTTGGAGACATGTCTGTTTAGGTCCTCTGCCCACTTTTTTTTTTTTTAAGATTTTTATTGGGGAATTGGGGGGATGGGAACAGTGCTGGGGAATTGGGGGAAGGGGAAGAGACAAGTTGCTGTCATTTTGTTCTTCAGTCTAGTTGTGGAGGACGTTGCTTCACTGGCCCAAGTTGGCACCATCATTGCGCTCTTCCGAGGCAGATCAGTCACCGGCTTCTGGATGGCCTCTCACCACGGCTGCTCGCCGCTCACACTGGTTGCTGGCTACACATGGTAGCCCATGGCAACCCACTGCCACAGGGGCTGCAGCCTACACCGTCGCTGGCGACTCACAGCAGCCCAGCTCCAGGATGAGCTGTTGTTCAGCATCTTATCTGTGGAGGGCAGTGTCACTGGCCCTCATATGTGGGATCCGAACTGGGGCCCTCTGGCATCCCAAGCCAGTTCTTAACCATCGCACCACTCGGCTGGCCCCTCTGCCCACTTTTTAATTGGATTATTTTGTTGTTGTTAAGTTGTATGAGCTCTTTATAAATTTTGGCTATTAACCCCTTCTCAGATGTATCATTGAGAAATATTTTCTTCCAATCGGTAGGTTGCTGTGCAAAAACTTTTTAGTTTGATGTAGTCCAATTTGTTTATTTTTTCTTTTGTTTCCCTTGCCTGAAGAGTTGTATCAACAAAAATATTATTAAGAGCAATGTCAGAGAGTTTACCGCCTGTGTTTTCTTCTAGGAGTTTTATGGTTCCAGGTTTTACATTTAAGTATTTAATCCATTTTGAGTTTGTCCTTGTATGTGGTGTAAGAAGGTGGTCCAGTTTTATTTTTTTGCATGTGTCTGTCCAGTTTTCCTGACACCATTTATTGAATAGACTATTTTTACTCCACTGTACATTCTTGCCTCCTCTTTCACAGATTAATTGACCTTATGGGCGTGGGTTTATTTCTGGACTCTCTATTCTGTTCCATTGATCCATTTGTCTGTTTTTATGCCAGTACCATGCTGCTTTGATTAGTATAGATTTGTAGTATAGTTTGATATCAGAAACCATGATACCTCTAACTGTGTTCTTCTTTCTCAAGATTGCTTTCACTATTCGGGGTCTTTTCTGGTTCCATATGAATTTAAGGATTATTTTTTCTAGTTCTGTAAAAAAATGCCATTGGTATTTTGATAGGAATTACATGAACTCTATGGATTGATATGGGAGTATGGACATTTTAACTATATTAATCATTCCTATCCATGAGCATGGGATATGTTTCTTCTTTAATTTCTATTTTCAATGTCTTATAGTTTTCTGAGTACAGGTCATTTAACTCCTTGGTTAAATTTATTTCTAGGTATTTTTTGTTTGATGCAATTGTCAGTGGTATTGTTTTCTTAATTTCTCTTTTAGATAGTTTGTTATTGGTGTATAAAAATGCAACAAATTTCTGAATAGTAATTTTGTATTCTGCTACTTGACTTGACTTGACTGGTTCTCTCTATATAATATCATGTCATCTGCAAATAATGACAGTTTTTATTCTTCCTTTCCAATTTGGATGCCTTTTATTTGTGTATGTTTTCTGTTGTGGCTAGGACTTCTAATACTATGTTGATTAAAAGTGGTGAAAGTGAACATCCTTGCCTTGTTCCTGATCTTAAGGAAAACACTTTCAGGTTTTCCCTGTTGCGTATGATGTTAGCTGTGGGTTTGTCATTTATGGCCTTTATTATGCTGAGGTATATTCACTCTATTTGCACTTTGCTGAGAGTTTTTATCATAAGTGTATGCTAGATTTTGTCAAATGCCTTTTCTGCATCTATTGATATTAACATGTGATTTTTATCCTTCATTTTGTTTGTGTGGTGTATCATGGTAATTGATGTACAGATATTGAACAAACATTGCATCCTGGGAGTAAATCCCACTTGATCATGGTGTATGATTTGTTTTTAACATATTGCTGAATTTGGTTTGCTGATATTTTGTTGCAAATTTTTGCATCTATGTTCATCAGGGATATTGGCCTATAATTTTCTTTTTTTGTATTGTCTTTGTCTGGTTTTAGAACCAGGATAATGCTTGCCTCATAAAATGAGCTTGGAAGCTCTTGAATTTTTTGGAATAGTCTGAGGAGGATAGGTGTTAATTCTTTTTTGAATGTTTGGTAAAATTCACCAGAGAAGCCATCTGGTCCAGGACTTTTGCTTGTTGGGAGTTTTTTGATTACTGATTTGATTTCTTTAGTGGTTATCGGTCTATTCAGATTTTCTGTTTCTTCCTAACTCATCTTGGAAGATTTGTTGTTTGTAGGATTTTATCCATTTCTTCCAGATTGTCCATTTGATGGCATATACTTGTTTATAGTATTTTCTTATAATCTTTTGTATTTTTGTGGTGTCAGTTGTCACTTTTCCTCTGTCATTTCAGATTTTATTTATTTGTGTCCTCTCTTTTTTTTTCTTGATGAGTTTGGCTAAAGGTTTATCAATTTTATTTATCTTTTCACAGAACCAGCTCTTGGTTTTATTGATCTTTTGTATTTTTGTTTAGACTCTATTTCATTTATTAGCACTCTGATCTTTATTATTCCTTTCCTTCTACTCATTTTGGGCTTTGTTTGTTGTTCTTTTTTTAGTTCCTTTAGGTGTTAGGTTACATTATTTATTTGAAATGTTTCTTATTTTTTGAAGAACGAAAAAAGAGCTAGAGTTGTATTGCTATGAATTTCCTTCTTAGAACTGCTTCGACTGTGTTCCATAGATTTTGGGTCATTTTCTCAATGTATCTTTTTTTTTCTTTAATTGGGGAACTGGGGGGATGGGAACAGTGCTGGGGAATTGGGGGAAGGGGAACAGACAAGTTGCTGTTGTTTCGTTCTTCAGTCTAGTTGTGGAGGTCGTTGCTTCACTGGCCCAAGTTGGCACCATCATTGCACTCTTCCCGGGCAAGGCAGATCAGTCGCCGGCTTCTGGACAGCCGCTCACTGCGGCCGCTGGCCGCTCACGCTGGCTGCTGGTTACACATGGTAGCCCATGGCAACCCACTGCCACAGGAGCTGCAGCCTACGCCGTCGCTGGCAACTCACAGCAGCCCAGCTCCAGGTTGAGCTGTTGTTCAGCATCTTATCTGTGGAGGGCAGTGTCACTGGCCCTCATATGTGGGATCCGAACTGGGGCCCTCTGGCGTCCCAAGCCAGTTCTTAATCATCGCGCCACTTGGCCAGCCCTCAAAGTATCTTTTGATTTCTTCCTTGATCTAATTGTTGACCCATTCATTGTTTAGTAGCGTGTTATTTAGCCTCAATGTGTTTCTGTGTTTTTCAGTTTTTTTTTCTTGTAGTTGATTTTCAATTTCATAGCATTTTGGCCAGAGAAGATGCTTGATATTATTTCAGTCGTTTTAAAGATTTTTTTTTAAATTGGGGAATTGGGAGAGGGGAACAGCGTTGGGGAATCGGGGAAGGGGAACAACTTGTCTGTCTTCAGTCTGGTTGTGGAGGACGTTGCTTTACTGGCCCAAGTTGGCACCATCATTGCGCTCTTCCCGGGCAAGGTATATCAGTCGCTGGCCTCTGGACGTCCGCTCATGGTGGCTGCTGGCCGCTCACGCTGGCTGCCGGCTACACATGGTAGCTTATGGCAGCCCACTGCAGCAGGGGACTGCAGCCTATGCCGTCGCCGGTGACCCACGGCAGCCCAGCTCCAGGTTGAGCTGTTGTTCAGCATCTTAGCTGTAGAGGGCAGTGTCACCAGCCCTCATATGTGGGATCTGAACCGGGGCCCTCTGGCATCCCAAGCCAGTTCTTAACCAATGTGTCACTCAGCCAGCCCTGATTTCAGTCCTTTTAAATTTATTGAGACTTGTTTTGTAGTTTAATATGTGGTCTATCCTGGAAAATGTTCCATGTGAGCTTGAAAAGAATGTATAGTCTCCTGCTTTGGGATGAAGCGCTCTAAAAATATTAATTAAATCCATTTGGTCTAATGTATCATTTAAGATCATTGTTTCCTTGTTCATTTTCAATCTGGATGATCTATCCATTGATGTTAATGGGAGAAGGAAGACATTTCTATTGGTGTGCATAAGCTAACATAGTGAGGCTAAATTTAGACAATGTTTGTAATTTTTATTCCAGGTAATCATCAGTCCCTTAGTTATAATATCTGCTTTCTTATTTATTTGCCAACAGTTCTTTGAGATACAATGTTGCATTAAGCCTAGTCTAAAGGTTGTTTTGCCCAGTTTTAACATTCCAAAGGTTTGATGCATAGGACATGCAAGGCAGTTCCTCTGGGATTGCAGCACTGACTCCATTTTAAAGTGGCTCTATTTATGTTATTTGTTTACACCAGAAGTCAGGGCATGGGTAGCAAGGACAGTTCTTAAGAGCAACCTTTAGGCAGTAGAATTTGACAGCCCTCTATGGTTGATTGAGCCTGAGAAGGAGGAGCAAGACACACAAGGCTTCTGGTCTGAACCTGTGGTGAAAGCCATGCCATTTACCAGAATAGAGAACTTGTGGGGAAGAAGATATGGTAGTTTACTCTGATAAAATAAAAATGGAGGCATGTAGGACAAAGGAGAGGGGGTGTCTAGCCTAGTTCACTTTTCTAGCCCTAGAGCTATTTGAGTCAGTCTCTCCAAGCATTTATCTCCCTCCCAGACTTGGCTCTTTGGAAGCAGAACTGATCACATGAATACGTGTTCTCCTCTTATTTTTAACTGCCTATGGTGTATTTTCACAGATGTCCCACCAAGGCTGACTCATGAGAGCTCTTCCTGGAAGTGAGGTCTGCAGTCTTGAAGACCGGCCAGCCAACCATCTGGAAATTTTGGAGTGATCACTAATGGGCAAGTGTTTGGGTTCCTGAGGAGATTTGCCAGTCAGTCCTGTCTGAGTCTCAGCAGTTCTCCGCAGACCCTGTTGGAAAGAAGGAAGAGAACAACAACATGAAGAAGAAGAGGGATCAGCTACCAGAACGCCGCAGGGCCTGGGACTGCCCTCAGGGTCATTACCTCCCTCCCATCTTTCTCTTTTTGACTATGTGGAAACGCTTTGCTCACCCACTGTACCCTGAAGCTGTAGAGCTTTGTGGCTAATGACTCCTGATCTCTTGTGTCTCCATTTCTGCTTCTTTAGATGGGAATAATCATAGGACTGAGTGCATAGGGTTGTTGGGAAGAATAAATGAGATAATCTGTGGAAACTGCTTTAAACCAATGCTCAGTATATAGTAGCACTCAGCATTAGTTTCTTTCTTTGTTGTTATACCTGTGTGCTACTATATCTAGAGGCAAGTGGAAATCTGTGATTACCTGCCACCCCTGGATTTTTGTGACATTATTACCCTATCTCATGTACACCAAACCCTTTCCCCAGGAACCCTGAAATTAGTGGTACTCCCCTCCCCTTTAAATAACTCACCTTATGGGGTCTGCGGAGCCTAAGGCTGGGTTGGGAAAGGAGAGGTTGGTTCTAGTGGGTCAGAGAGATGCTATCTTTTGGTTTCCTCACCTCCTCATAAGTTCCTTCTGGCTTCCAGCCTCTCAAGGTGAGTTTAGATTAGTGGATTTTCCCTAAAGCTATCTGTTTTTTAAAAGATTTTTATTGGGGAATTGGGGGATGGGAACAACGCTGGGGAATTGGGGGAAGGGGAACAGATAAGTTGCTGTCCTTTTGTTCTTCAGTCTAGTTGTGGAGGACGTTGTGGTGGCCCAAGTTAGCACCATCATTGCGCTCTTCCCGAGCAAGGCAGATCAGTCGCCAGCTTCTGGACAGCCACTCACAGCGGCTGCTGGCCGCTCACACTGGCTGCTGGCTGCACACAGTAGCCCATGGTAACCCACTGCAGCAGGGGCTGCAGCCTACGCCGTCACCGGTGACTCACGGCAGCCCAGCTCCAGGTTGAGCTGTTGTTCAGCATCTTAGCTGTAGAGGGCAGTGTCACTGGCCCTCATATGTGGGATCCGAAACGGGGCCCTCCGGCATCCCAAGCCAGCTCTTGGCCAATGGGCCACTCGGCCGGCCCCTAAAGCTATCTTTTGATTTCTCCAACCATGTGGTGGGAACTGAGTAGGGCCTTTCTCCTGGAGTGTGAAATTTCTCTTATCCCTGAGCCCCATAGGTGCCCATTCTGACTCAACTCTGTAAGGAACTCATAATTTTCCCAGTTCCACTTTCTATAATGTTTCTCTCTTTTCCTTTGTTCTTACAACAATTGCTTGTACTACTCATTTGACAAAGAGTAATAAAATTTCTTGTGACATCTCTTTTTTCCTAGTGGACTACTAAAACTTTTATTGCTATTTCACTTTTCAGAGGCTCATGCTTTATCTCTCTCCTCCTCAATTTGTTGCATGCTCCCTAGTGAATTCTTTGTACTTCTGAGAGTACTTTACAGGATTTCATGTCCTTCATAGATTCTAGAAAAGCATGGTTTTTGTTGAATCCCTTAGCTCGGCCTTCCCTCAGTATTTTTTTCTCTTCTTTTATAGGCCCAGTTGGTTTACACAACATTGGACAGACCTGCTGCCTTAACTCCCTAATCCAGGTATTCATTATGAATGTGGGCTTCACCCAGATACTGAAGAGGTAAGACTATTATGCAGGCTGGTAAACATATATATTACTTCACATTTTTTTTAGAATTTTTTTATTGTGAAATAAACATTTTTAAAATTAGTTTCAACTGTACAACACAGTGCAATAGTTATATGTTTTATCCCTCAAAATGACAACCCCCCCCATCTGCCGCCCCACTCCCCCCCATATCATACATATCTATTACAGTTCCCTTGACTCCACTCCCACACTATGCTCCACGTATCATGACTATATATATATATATATATATATATATATTCAATTATAGTTGACATACAATATTATACAACATCAGCTTCAGGTGTACAGTGCAGTGATCAAGCCTCTACTCCATCCATAAAGTGGTCTCCCTAACAAGACATGTGACCATCTGACACCCCTGCTTCACATTTTTGAATATTCAGTTCTTCAAAGTGACTTGGACTTTTAGAAGTCTTCTTTCAAAAGTTGCCAGAGAAAAGTCTTGTTTTGCACATCTGCACTACACATTCTAATCATCTAAGAAGTTTTTAAAAATGCCTTGTCCTATCCCCAGATATTTGGTTTCAGTTGGTCTAGGGTGGGGCACAGGCATTGGTACTTTTAAAAAAATGACCCAAGTGATTCAAAAGTGCAGTCAGGATTGACAGCCACTGATTTGATTAAAAGGAAGTTGGGACTAGACCAGTGTCAAAGGAGAAGTAAACCAATGTGTAGGTGCATGAGTCTCTCTATTGATTTTTCTCAAACAAAACACACACACACACACACACAATGCTTTGTGTGTGTGTGTGAGTGTGTGTGTGTGTGACTGTGTGTGTCTACTTGATCATACATTCTTTTCTGCCCTGGTATGGGCATTTGAAGATGCCTATAATTAAATAAATCATTGCCAAAATGCACTGACATCCCTCCCTGTTCCCCTTTCTTCCCAAGATCTAGATGAGTGCTGCTTTTTCACTTTGGAGTGCTTCAGGGTGGACATGGTGCTGCTTGGCCACTTTGCTGTGGACCCAGGACCTACTGCATCTGCCCTTCATTTAGTGTGATAGGGTGGGCAGAGAGGCAAGGCAGTAGTTGTACTGATCCCCTCCCAGCAGGGTTCTCTCAATAGCTGATTAGCTCACATGGTGGTTCTCCACCTTGTCTGTACAGTTAAATCATCTAGAAAACTTAAAAATTCTGTCCCATTCTCAGAAATCCTGATCTAGTTAATCTGCAGAGTGGCCTGGATGTGGAGATTTTGAAAGTTCCCTTGAGTGATTCCAGTATGCACCTAACATTGAGATGAACAAGCAGGTTTGTGGATGTTCTTATTTGGCAGGATAACAGTACCAAGGGGAGCAGAAGAGCGGAGGAGAAGTGTCCCCTTCCAGCTGCTCTTGCTGCTGGAGAAAATGCAGGACAGTCGGCAGAAAGCAGTGCGACCCATGGAGCTCGTCTACTGTCTCCAGAAGTACAATGTACCATGTAAGACAGTCCTCCCAGCTCTGGCTCCTGATCTAGTGCTCTTTAGGGAGTGGGAGATTGAGAGGGGGGTGGAGGAAAGGGAGAGGAGAGGGCAAGGAGAGGGACTAATATCAGTGAGTGAACAAGAAGGATGTTAGGTAGACTATAGACCCCTTATATGGGAAGCATTTATGTAGATCTGAAATATTTTTTAAAGCCCACATTTTTACAGGCACAGAACTAGTATTATTTATGCATATGTTATTTTTCACACTCACTCTTTTTCTGCCTCTCAGGATAAGTAAGCCTAAGAGTCTCCTCAGAGCTGTTTCAGCTGCAGGTAAAGAATTCCAGGAAAACAGAATAAAAGATTAATAAGGAGAAACCATATTCTACAGAAGAAAACTCATAACTTAGTTTTTTTTAAAAAAAGCAGTTTTATTGAGCTATTACATCACATAACCATAAAATTGACCCATTTAAAAATGTACAATTCAGAGGGTCTTAGTCTATTCACAGAGTGCAAGTCAGTGGCAGATGTCAGGTTGGATGCAGGCCCACAGGCAGCTGTGGGGTCTTGGCTGTTGGCAAGTACTCTTGCGACTATAGGGGCCTGCTGTGGGCACACACACATGCAGTGGAAGAGGTGGCAGGATCCAGGCTAACTGGTGCAGGAGCACAGCTGCAGGGGCTAGCCTCAAGTGTGCGATAGGTGGTGGGGGCCAGCTGTGAGGGTTTAAGCTGGCACCATGCACTGTGTAGCTGCAAAGGCCAGGACATGCTCCCATTGTGGATCCTGGGCTCTGGAGTGAGAGGGGAATATCATGCAGAGGGATGCAGGTACTGGTGTCTGCAAAAACAAACACTTCAGCAGTAAAATCTGCAGGGTGTCTGGTGGTTGTGCTGGCCATTGGTTTCTTCAGTGGCAATAGCTGATGGGGTCCTCAGTGGAACAGGTCACTGGGAGCCATGGCTGCTCCTGCTGTGTGGAGGATACTAGGGTCCCCCTTCTCTTCTTCCTTGTTCTGAGCCATCTGTAGCCACCCAGCTTTGCCAGTCTGTAGGTGGGGTGAAAGCAAAGTGGGCCTTTCATGCAGTGAAAGGGTAGGGAAGTTGGTCACTCATTCTGCTTCCCTTTCCTGGTTAAGGAAACTCTTTTGAGCTGGGGAGTTCCCTCTTGGGACTGAGCAGCGCTGGCCTGGGGGATGAGATGATGCAGGCAAAATGAAGCTGTTCTTACTACCCTTTTTGTGTGGTTATTCTCAGATTTTTGTTGAAGTTTCTTAAGTGGACTTACTAGTAGACTCTCCAAGAGCTATTTTCATTCATGGATAGCTGTCTAATTGTTGATTGTTGTTGGGACTCAGGGGCTGAGGTTTCCTACTCTGCCATCTTGGTGATGTCACTCTCTCAATCCCAATGTCTTTTATTTCTTCATGTGGATTTGAGTTACCATGCAGTTACCATCTAGTTTCATTTCAGCTGGAAGGACTTCCTTCAGTATTTCTTGTAGGGCAAGTCTTTAGTGATGAACCATCTCAGTTTTTGTTTATTTTAGAATGTCTAAATTTCTCCATTTTTTAAGAGGAATTTTGCTGGATATATAATTCTTGGTTGACAGCTTCACCCACCCCAGCACTTTGAATATGTCGTCCCACCACCTTCTTTACTCCATGGTTTTTAATGAGAAGTAAGGTGTCTTATTGAGGATTCCTTGTGCTATTGTCTGGCTATTCATATCTCCTCAAAATTCATATATTGAAATGTAATCCCCAAGGTGACAGTAGTAGTAGATGGGGCCTTAGGAAGTTGATGAGATCACAAAAGTGGAGCCCTCATGAATGGGATTAATGTTCTTATAAAAGTGGCCCAAAAAAGTTCCTTTGCCCCTTCTGCAATGTGAGTACACAACGAGAAGGTGTTGTCTATGAACATGAAAGTGGGCTCTCACCACCAGAATCTACCACCTTGAAGTTGGACTCCCCAGCCTCCACAGCTGTGAGAAATAAATTTCTGGATTTTATAAGAAACCCAGTTTATGGTATTTTTGTTATAGCAGCCTGAGTAGACTAAGACACTTTTTATATGGTGAGTCATTTTTCTCTTGCAGATTTCAAGGTTTTCTCTTTACTTGACTTTTGACAGTTTGACTATGATGTGTCTAGGTGTGGATCTCTTGGAGTTTATTGCACTTGGAATTTGTTGAACTTCCTAAGTGTGCAGATCAATGTCTTTCAACAAATTAGGGAGGTTTTGGGTCATTATTTCTTCAGACATTTTTTTCCCCTGACCTTTGTCTTTCTCTGTTTATTCTGGGATTCCCATTTTGTGTATATTGGTATATCTGATGGTATCCCACAGCTCCTGAAGCTCTGTTTATTTATTTATTTAATTTATTTTTAAAAAGATTTTATTGGGGAATTGGGGGGAAGGGAACAGCGTTGGGGAATAGGGGAAGGGGAACAGACAGGTAGACAAATTGCTGTTTTTGTTCTTCAGTCTAGTTGTGGAGGATGTCACTTCACTGGCCCATGTTGGTATGATCATTGTGCTCTTCCCCGGGTGGGACAATCGGTCGCTGGTCATTGGTCGACCGCTCACAGCGGCTCCCGGCTGCTCACACCAGCTGCTGGTCACTCACGCTGGCTGCCAGCCACTCACGTAGCTCATGGCAATCCACTGCAGCCCCACTGCAGTCTATGCCTTTGCCAGCGACTCACAGCAGCCCAGCTCCAGGTCGAGCTGTTGTTCATCATCTTAGCTGTAGAGGGCGCAGCATCACTGGCCCTCAATGTGGGATCATCCAAACCGAGGCTCTTCTGCTCAGAGCTGGCGCGCTCAAGCGAGCTCTTAACCAGCTGAGCCACTCGGCCGGCCCCTGTTTATTTTTTAATAGATTATTTTTTAAAGCAGTTTTAATTTCACAGCAAAACTGAGTAGAAAGTCCAGACATTTCCTGAATCACCACACATGAGCCTCCTCCCTATGAATATCCTGCACCAGAGTGGTACATTTGTTAAAATAGATGAACCTGAATTTATACATCATTTTCACCCAAATCCTTACTTTCTGTTATAGTCTGCTCTTGGTGTTGTACATTCTATGGGTTTTGACAAATATATAATGACATGGATTTACCATTATTAGTATAATACAGAGTAGTTTCACTGCCCTAAAAATCCTCTGCGTTCTGCCTATTCATCCTCATTCCCCCTCTCACCACTGGCCACCTGATCCTTTTACTGTCTCCATAGTTTTGCCTTTTGCAGAATGTCATATAACAGTTGGGATCATGCAGTACGTAGCCTTCAGTTTGACTGCTTTCACTTAGTAACATGCACTTAAGTTTCCTCCAAGTGTTTTCATGGCTTGAAAGCTCATTTTCCTCTTCTTCTTCTTTTTTTATTGTGGCGAAATACACCTAACATAAAATTTTCCATTTTTAAGTGTACTGCTCAGTGGTATTAAATAATTCACATTGTTGCACGACTGTCACAACCATCCATCCCCATAACTCTCCATCTTGTAAATCTGAAACTCTACACCTATTGAACAGTAACTCCATATTCTCCCCTCTCCCCAGCCCCTGGCAACCACCATCATTACACTTTCTGTCTTTATGACTTTGACTATTCTAAGTACCTCATAAAGTGGAATCATCAGTATTTATCTTTTTGTGACTGACTTATTTCACTTAGCATGATGTCCCCAAGATTCATTCATGTTGTAGCATATTGCAGAATTTCCTTCCTTTTTAAGGCTGAATAATATTCGTGTGTGTGTGTGTGTGTGTGTGTGTGTGTGTCACATTTTGCCTGTCCATTCATCCATTGATGGACACTAGGGTTGCTTCTATGTTTTAGCTGTTGTGAATAATGCTGTTATAATCATGGGTGTACACGTATCTCTTTGACCCTGCTTTCATTTATTTTGGGTATATATCTAGGAGTGGGATTGCTACATCATATGATAATTCTATTTTTAATTTTTTAAGAAACCATGATACTATTTTACATAGCAGCTGTACCATTTTACATTCCCACCAACAGTGCACAAGGGTTTCAGTTTCTCCACATACTGGTCAATGCTTACTGTTTTCTGCTTTATTTGATAGTAGCCATTCTAATGGGTGTGAGGTGGCATCGTATTGTAGTTTTGATTTGCATTTTCTTAATGACTAGTAATGTTGAGCATCTTTTCATGTGCTTATTGGCCATTTGTATATCTTCTTTGGAGAAATGTCTCTTCCACTCCTTTGCCCATTTTTGAATCAGGTTATTTGATTTTTGTTGTTGAGTTAAAGTTCTGTATATTCTGGATGTTAATCCCTTTTCAGATATGTATATGATTTGCAAATATATCCTCCCATTCTGTGGGTTGTGTTTTTTTTTAATGTGCATTATAATTTCTTTCTTTTTTTATTAAAGTTTATTGGGGTGACAATTGTTAATAAAGTTACATAGGTTTCAGGTGTACAATTCTGTAATACATCATTTATATCACATTGTGTGTTCACCACCTAGAGTCAGTTCTCCTTCCATCACCATATATTTGACCCCTTTTTCCCTCATCTATCACCCCTCTCCTCCCTTACCCTCTGGTAACCACTAAACTATTGTCTGTGTCTATGAGTTTTTGTTTCTTCATTTGTTAGTCTTGTTCCTTCATTGTTTTCAGTTTTATATACCCCATATCAGTGAAATCGTGGTTCTCGACTTTTTCTGTCTGACTTATTTCACTTAGCATAATAACTTCAAGATCCATCCATGTTGTTGCAAATTTCATTATTTCATCTTTTCATATGACAGAATAGTATTCCATTGTGTATGTATACCACATCTTCTTTATCCAATCATCTGATAAAGGATATTTTGGTTGTTTCTGTGTCTTGGCCACTGTAAATAAAGCTGCAGTGAATATAGGAGCACATATATCACATTTATCATATATTACGGATAAATGTTTTCAGATTTTTTGGGTAGATAGCCAGGAGAGGGATTGCTGGGTCATATGGTAATTCT